CAACAGGAGAGCCCAGGAACAGACCCACAGACAAGTCAACTGATATTTGACAAAGGGGCAATCAGATTTCAACGGAGAAAGGATAGACTCTTTAAAAATGGTACTGAACAACTCAATAGCCTCATACAGAACAAAAAGGGAATTTACACACAGAACTTAACCTCTCACAAATATTTACTCAAAATGTAAAAGGAAAAACCACTAAACTCCTATAACATAGTATATCTAGGTAACTTTGGGTTTGTGAGGCCTTTTTAGATAATAACACCAAAAACATGAACCATCAAAGAAAGTGTTGAAAAGTCATGCTTCATCTCTGCAAAGTACTACATTAAAAGAATAAAAAGACCAGTCAGAGACAGAATATGTCTTTATAAAACAAACATATGTTAGAAGACTGGTATCCAAAGTACAAAATAGACACAATATATAAAAACAAAAAACAAGTTCAATTTAAAAATAGGCCGATAATTTGAATAGACATCTGCTCAAAAAAGATATACAAATAGCAAATAGGCATAGTTAATAGATGTTGAATATCATATGTCACCAGGAAATTGCAAATTAAAACATTAGAAAGCCAAGTTACGTTAAATGGTAAAAATTGAACTAAATCCATAACGAATCAAAAGAATAAGAACTGATCACATACACTGCACAAGAAAGGATATTGTAGTGTTCAAATTCACAGACATGTGGGAGGCAAAGTGGACTGAAGGCAAAACTATAGTGATGATGAGCCAATGCAACTACTTTTATGCAGAAGCTTTATGCTATGGATTTTGCTGTGGTTTGTGTCTAGATGACCCCAAGCCTCATGCAATCATAGTCTGTTCAGAGGTGACTGAAGCTAGACTGTATGATTGTATGTAGTACAAAGTTGGGATTAAGGGTGCTGGGATTAAGGGTGGGTGATTATATGTACAACCATGATTATAGCAACACAATTTCTAGTGGTAAAATCCTAGAAACAATCTAAATGCCCATCTACCAAGGAATGGATAAAAAGTGGTTTTTTATGCAATGGAGTATTACTCAACCATAGAAGAGGATAAACTAGAGACTTGTAGGTAAATGGACACAACTCGAGTCCATATTCATAAGGGAAATAAATAAGACTCACATGTCTAAGCATTATATTGTCACACTAATGTAAGAAGCAGATAGAGTAAGATATTATAAATTTATATTCATGTCAGCCTTCTGAAGTTTTTCTTCTTTTTCAAAATTGTTTCAATGATTTTAAGTTTTTTGGATTTTTATATCAATTTTAGAAAAATCTGCCAGCTAAATTTTTTTTATTTTTTTTATTTTAAAGAGGAAAAACTCAAAAGAAAATAAAAGGAACAAAGATAAAACCAGGGCAACACAGAATAAAAATATTATAGAATTTCTAAACAGGAACAGAAAATTAACAATGGTTGCTATATTATATATTATCGAATTTTTGCTCAGATTATCAGGTAGAGGCATGCCAGATTGATCAAACAATTAAAACATTAACTCCTACTTCCAACAAACTTTAATTTTTCCTTATCCTTTTTTAAAGAGTATGTAAATAAAAGATGACACTAATTTTTTTATAATCTGGATTTTCATTAGAATTAAAGTATTAGATCAGTTTTTGAAAATTGTTATCCTCAAGCATTTCACATTAAAATGCTTCTTGAAATCTTTAATTTCTGTGATATGTTTTCTAGTTCTCTGTACATAGGTCTTGTGAATTTTGTGGTGAGATTTATTACTTTCATATTTTAATACTCTTGTGAATGATGTGTTTTGTTTTGCTTGTTAGTATGAAGTAGAAGCATAGTAGCTTTTCAATGAACACTTAAAAACTAAAAAAAAAAATTTTAAATGGTGGGTGATGCTGGATCAGTCCACTGAATGTATTGGTGTCATTCTAATACCAGTGAATTTAAATGCAATATAAGAGACAAAAAGAAGTTTGTCTCACTCTAGATTGTTGCTTTTGCTGTCTTCTGCCACTGTAAACTGTTGCCCCTCTGCAATGTGCTACCCTATTTTAGAGTCAGTATACTATAGACTGAAAGCACAAGCTGTGAACTAAATAAATCCCCCCATTTAACTTTGGATGTCAGGTATTTTGTCCTAGCAGTGAGAAAAGTAACTAAGACAGGATGTGGTATCACAGAAGTGGAGTCATTGCAGTGACTACACCTGACCATGTCATTGAGGACCCTTTAAGAATGCCTTGCGGGAAGATTTTGCAATGACTGAGAGATCCTGGCTGAAAAGCAGCACTGAACTCCTTAGGCTGTACTGTATGGGAGATTCTGATAAGAAGTCAGAAGACCAGAGGCTGATAGAAATCCAGTGGTAGAGATCAGGCTCCAGAGGGCTCTTCAGGAAAGCACTGCATTGGCTGCTGGACTCCAGACAGTGTGTTATGGCTAGGCAGAAAGTCTGTTTGTATTTTGCTCATGTCCAGAGATTTTTCCTGACACAAAGATTAAGGGTGGAGAATTAACTAATCTTATAGAAGGAATTTCAAGGCAGTCTAATGTTCAGATAGTGGCTGCTGTTAGACTTTTTTAAAGCTAGATTTATGTTGAGAATCCAGGGCAAGGAGTGCAGCAGCATGCTTTAAAATGTTGAGTTTGACCAGAAAGGAATATCCAGTAAAGTTGTGGATAGAAAGACAGAAATCTTGATAACTGAGAAGGAAAAAAATAGGAAACACAACCTATGGGCATCACAAGAAACAGAAAGACTCTTGTCCTCTGCAGCCTCAAAATTGCAAAAGTTAAAGACACTGCTTTAAGAATGGCTTCTAGACTTTGAATGGCTTTGAGAAGACTTTGCTTCCAGAATGGCAACTGCCTAAAGAATTTGCTCCTCATAATTTGATTCAGAGTGCTCAGTGACCTCGGCACTTGACCCTTACAGCCAAGAGAAAGGGAAGCCTGGCTACTTCACTTCTTCTGCTCGTAACAAACCTTGTCATCATCCATGTGTCACTGATTTTAGATGCATGCAAAATGCAAGGGTTGTGTGATCAGGAAGGCTTCAGTACACATTTCAGCCAGTGTGTCCCTGAGAGGACAGTGTGTGGAGCTGAGAACGTGAAGCCAAGAGTGCAGTGGAGACACCAGAAGTTTAAAAAAGCCAGGAATGTGGATCATCTGAGGAAAACTGTGAGGAGTGAGCAGAGCGGGCCCAAGATAGAAGCCATGGAAGCTTCAACCACAGAAAGTGCCATAGGGGCAGAGCCACTCAAGCCCTTGGAGTCACATCATACCTCAGATAAGCTCAGATGCTGCACATGAACTAAAAGATTTACTATCTGTCATGCTGGATTTTGAATCTGCTTTGGTATCCCAATGTGTAACTTTTGCAATGGAAATGTCCATCTTTTGCTATTGAATATTGGAAATGTTTTACTTTTTTTCATTTATATGGGGAATCAAAACTAAGAATTTGGCTTAAATCTCAGAGGAGGCTTTTAACTTGGACTTTTCAGAAATGCTGAAAAAAAATAGAAAAACAACAACAACAACAAAAAAGACCAGGGAGGGGCTGGTGAGATGGCTCAGTGGTCTAAAGCACCCACTTAGAACAAGCTTAGCAAAGCACAGGGACCGCGGTTCAATCCCCCAGCACCACATGCCAGCCAGCCCTGCCCCCTGGTGGGCTGAGCTGGCCACACACACACATAAATAAATAATTTTTTTTTAAAAAGGCAATTAAAAAAAAAAGACCAGGGAGATAGCTCAATAGAATAAGCACTTGCCTGGCGAGCGCAGGGTCCTAAATTCAATCCTTGGTACCACAAAAAAATAAATGCTGAATTGTTAGGATTTTCACAACTCATGGAGATGAACTAAGTGCTTCTTGCTCATATGCATGAGTCTTTGGGATGCCAGGGGAAGAATACTATGGTTTGTGCCTAGAGATCTCCCCAGTTCATTAGGTCATATGGTTTTTATGAAGGTGGCTGATTCTAGAGTGGATTAATTCACAGTGCAATGTTGGGATTAAGGGAGGGTGGTTGCTGGATCAGTCCACTCATTGGATTGGCACTGTCTTAATTCCAGTAAACTGGATATTAGAAACAGAAAGAAGACTGACTCTCATTTGTTGCTTTTGCTGTCTTCTGCCATTGTGAACTCTTAACTCTCTGCAATGTGCCAACCTACTTTGATGCCAGCAGATTACGGACTTAAATCTTTACAAACTTTGAGCTAAATAAACCCTTCCTCCCTTAATTTTGGATGTTGGGTATCTTGTTGCAGCAATGGGACAAAAATAACTAAACTTGGTTGTTTTTGAAATTTAGATTTCAGGGCTGGGGAGATGGCTCAGTGGAATAAGTGCTTCCCTGGCAAGCACAAGGGCCTGAGTTCAATCCCCAGTTAGGCAAAAAAAAAAGAAAAAAAAAAGAAAAATAAAAAGAAAAAAAGAAAGAAAAGAAAAAAGAAAGAAAAATTTAGATTTCAGAAGCAAATTAGGGTTACACAACTGCTAGTGCACATACTGTGTAGTCAAATCACGACTATTTCAACCTGTTGGTCTGAAATCTATTTTAGGAGTACACAGTGCTTAGCAAGCCAGAAGACACAGGTTAGCATCTAGCATCTTTTAATTGGTCTCTGACTTTAACGACAATATTTCACTTTCTCTGACATAGTTTCCTCTTGTGTTGTACAAAATAGTAGTACTTTCTGGTAGTGGTCCATACTTTGTAATATTACTCTGAGCTAATGAGCATAAGAAGTTTGAGACAGGGTCTTTCTCAGTTAAGCTAATGCTGTTCAGGCATAGTTCATGCTTTCTAAATTAACTGGCAGCAAATTATCCAATAGATAGTTCAGTCTTACAGTAAAGGTTAGCCACACATGTGCAAATAAATATCATGAATTCAAGAATCTAGCACTTTCAGACTTACCAGAAAAATGTGCTGGCATAACTTACAAATGTCCATAGAGTTTTAGGATAGAAACCTGAATAAGAAGGAAAGCACAGATTTGCATGCTGGGGTTGCTGCTGAGCGGTGGAAAAGAATTCTACATACAATTAAAATGACCACCTCCTGGAGTGATCGGTTACAGAATGCAGCAGATATGCCTACAAATATGGATAAGCATGCTGTAAAAATGTATCGGTGAGAAGCCTATCATTGGGTGTTTGTGAACCAAAGTTTAGCCATGGAAAAAATAAAGTGTTCTGGTTTTGATATGGAGTGTACCCTCGCTGTGTACAAGTCCCCGGAGTATGAGTCTATGGAGAGACTTGTTTCTGTTGGGTATCCCCAGGAACTGCTCAGCTTCACTTAGGATTCTACATTCCCTACCAGAGGACTTGTCTTTGATACACTATATGGAAATCTTTTGAAAGTTGATGCTTATGGCAACCTCTTGGTCTGTGCACATGGATTTGACTTCATAAGAGATCCAGAAACTAGAGAACAATATCCAAACAAATTTACCCAATGAGATGACACTGAAAGATTTTACATTCTAAACACATTATTCAACCTGCCAGAAACCTACTTGTTGGCCTAATAGATTTTTTTTTTACTAATTGTCCTAGATATACCAGCCGTGAGACAAGATTTAAAGACGGTACCTGTTTTCATGTCCTACTGGAGTATACTGCGGGATATAAGAGATGCTGTTGACTGGGTCCATTACAAGGGCTTCCTTAAGGAAAAGACAGTTGAAAATCTTGAAAAGTATGTAGTCAAAGATGGAAAACTGCCTTTGCTTCTGAGCCAGATGAAGGAAGCAGGCAAAGTATTTCTTGCTACCAACAGCGACTATAAGTATACAGATAAAATTATGACTTACCTGTTTGACTTCCCACATGGCCCCAAGCCCAGGAGCACTCATAGGCTGCGGCAGTCCTATTTTGACCTGACCATAGTGGATGCACGGAAACCACTCTTCTTTGGAGAAGGCACAGTACTGTGGCAAGTGGACACAAAAACTGGCAAGCTGAAGATTGGCACCTACACAGGCCCCCTGCAGTACGGCTACTCAGGCAGTCATCTGATACAATCTGTGATCTGTTGGGAGCTAAAGAGACATTTTATATATTGGAGATCACATTTTTGGAGATATTTTAAAATCAAAGAAATGGCAAGGGTGGTGAACTTTCCTGGTCATTCCTGAACTCACACAGAAGCTGCATGTCTGGACTGACAAGAGTTCACTTTTTGAAGAACTTCAGAGCTTGGACATTTTCCTGGCTGAACTCTACAAGCACCTTGACAACAGTAGCAATGAGCGCCCAGACATAAATTCCATCCAGAGATGGATTAAGAAAGTCATGCACGACATGGATATGTGCTATAGGATAATGGGGAGCCTCTTTCGCAGTGGCTGCCAGCAGACACTTTTTGCCAGTCAAATGATGTGCTATGTTGATTTCTATGCTGCGTCCTTCAACAACCTGCTATATGATCCATTCAGCTACCTCTTCAGAGCTGCCCATGGCCTGATGCCGCATGAGTCTACCATGGAGCACACATGTGGACATTGATGAGATGGAGTTGCCCCTTTCTGCATGCAACCGCACCTCCGTGGATTTCAAGGACACCGACTACAAGTGGCAACAGCTGAGGAGGTCCAGCAGTGAGATCAAACCCCCCAACCTCTTCCCACTGTCCCCCCCCAAAAAAAACTGCACACTGCCATAATAAAGATGATAATTGAGGAGGAGGAAGAGGAGAAGATTGAGGAAAACCTGAGCCTGAGCATCCAAGCAGCAGGCGCCAGCAGAACTCCGGGAGCAAAGGCTGTCCTCAGGGTTCTCTCAGAGTGTGGGGAGCTCCTTCAGAAGTACATCTGCAAAGGTTTTGAACTTTAAATATTTAATCATAGAGAGATACTTGCTTAAAAAAAAGGAAATCACAAGTTGATATAAGCTCTCTACTTCTTTCTAATTTCCACTGGGTCCATACTACTTAAGACAAGGTAAATACTCAACATAAACTTATTTTAAAAATTAAAGACAGTAATGACTTAAGAAATAAAAGGAGCAAATAAGAGAAGACAAAATGATTGACACACATACCACATACCCCCTCAAATACCATCAGAGGGCCGGCCAGATAGCTCAGCAAATTAAAGTGCCTGCTTAGGTAAATGCAAGGACTGGGGTTTGATCCCCGGCATGTTGTGCCAGCCCCACCTCCCGGGGCTTGCTGAGACATTGATTGAGACTGGGCATGGTGATGGTGTGCACCTGTAATCCCAGTGCCTGCGAGGCTGAAAACAGAGGATCGCTACGAGTCTCGTCTGTGTAGTGAGACCCTACACTAAATACATTTTAAAAAACCACACACACACAAATACCATCAGACCCCAGACCCTCATCTCACAATTTTGGAGCTCACTCAAGAGACTATACTGTGAGACAAAAAAGAAAACAATCCACCATTCTGTCAGGTCCATTTAAACAACACAGCTAAAAATCATCTTCCTCTGATACATAATACCTATGTGTTCCCATAAAAGGTACAGAATCATCCAACTATTCTTTCCTGTCATCTAAATATTATAGCTATAATAAATATCTGGTATTCAATAAATGATGATGTGGAAATATAAGAAACTCCATGGTAAAAATAGGATTTCCTTTTATTACTGTGAAATATCAGCCGTGTTCAGCAAAAATAACACGGTCCAGTATGAGTCTTGTGGGCATATATAAAAATTGCTTTTTTAAAAAAGAAGGGGTTGTAGAGTCAATGTTAAAATAGGGACACATGAACTAAAACTAGATCGTTCCAGAAATGAAGTACCGTAAGAACGTCAATAAAATAGACCTTATAAAGATGGTGAAAGTATGCTACTTCCACTGCTACAAAGAACTAAAATTCTCCCATGTTATCCACACAAAATTAAAGGGTCCCCACAGATTAAGAAATCTCCAGAGGCTTATTCAAAGGAGCATAGTACTTGCATGTAATATAAACACAGGACCCCATACAATTTAAATTATGTCTACATTATGTATAATAACTAAGGCAACAAATTCTACATAGATAATTACTAGGTTGTATAAATCAAGGAATAAAGACCTTGGTTAGGATAGATATATAGTTACATTCTCTTAATGAATAGAGGGATTTGTTCTAATGGTGTCTGTAAATAGGATATCATGTCCACATCTTGTACAGCAATTAACCACTAGGAAGAATGTGTGCAATGTGTCAATTATTGAAACTGTCCTACCAAAAAAAAGGAATAAAGACTTGGACAAAGTTTATACATCTTCAATACCCATTTTTAATACAAATATTTATCCTTCAGGTTTGGTTGTATCAACAGATCCAGGGACTATGGATATGGAAGGCCAACTGTGTTGCAAACAGGATGGCTTAAAATAATATAAATTTATTACCTTAGAGTATGGAATATGGGCAATCTGAAGAAAAAGCTCTCACTACAATAAAACCAGTTAGCAGAGCTATTTTTCTTCTAGTGTTTCTGGGTGAAAATTTTTCCCTTTTCCACCTTTCCAGACTTCTGATTCCCCTGTCTTTAAAGCCAACAATGGGTGTGTAGTTTTTCTCAGGCTGCTCCACAAGGACACTGCATTTTCTGCCTCCTGATGACACACAGCCTCTGCAGAACTCCTGAAATTATACTGGCCAAAATAATCCAGCATAATCTTATGTTAAACTCAACGGATCAGTAACCTTAATTCCATCTACAAACTTAATTGTCCTTTGCCAGGCAACATACATTTATATGTCCTAGGGGAAAATATGTGGGTACCCTTGGAGCCAGATTATTCTGACAAACATAGTGAAGGAGGGGTATAAGTGAGTTTTGAAATGGACAGCAGAGACTGATCAATTTTGTGTTGCCCCATTTGTCCAAAGCAACAAGCATGGACAGGAAAAACTCAAGAATAGAAGAATGTAGGGGTGAAAGGAAAGGATGCAAGTTCCTCCTTTGCTTGGAAATAACTGGGGAACTTAGGCAAATGGCTATGAGATTCAAGCTGCTTCGGATCCGGGTCACATGTGCACGCTGCCAAATACCATGAGGGCCTGGAGAGAATGGCAAAAAGAATCATGGAAGAACAGTGGGTTGGGAGCCAGGGCTGAAGTCCTACCTGGTGCCTGAGCCTAGGGTCTTATGCAGCTAGGAAAGAGGACTGTGGAACTAGCTCCCTGCATGCCTTTTCAGGTGAAGGCCTTCTTCCTGGGCAACTGTGGGGACACCAGTGACCAAAGGAACTCCCTTGAGAATTGACAATTGGTGTGGCAGAGAGAGTGAGTCTGGGCCCAGAGCTGTGCTTGGTTTCCTAGGCCTACAGGTCTAGGTCAGCCTTCCTCTGCAAGAGGAGCATGCTTGAGGGGCTCTCCTACCGCTGGTTTCCCTGAAGAGCAGAAGAGCATTCCCCACCTTCAGGGCTAGAGACAATAGGAAGACAACATGGGGCAGCTGCCCTGGCGCTGTGCTGCGCAGTCGCACCTACCCCAGCCCACACTCCTTGGCGCCCCCTCCCCCAGCGTCGAGAAAGGAGGGGGCCTGCAGAGGAGGGGGCAGGCTCTATTTAGACTGCAGTGCAGCCTTTCAGAGGGGCAGTTGGTATCCATCCGCCACTGCCTCCAGCACCCCCGCTGCCAGCCTCCCGAGGTCACCGCGCCCTCCCCGCGCAACCCCGCAGCCCAGAGTCCCCACCAGACCCACAAGGCAGAGCAGCGTGGCGTCGTGTCGCGGCCGGGCTCGAGCAGTGGTCTGCACGTGAGGGCGCGCCTAGACCCCGAGGCACGCTGCTGCTGCGCAAGCTCGCAGACTGCGGCTGGCGCCGGCCCCGCCCACGTCCGGGTCGGAACTACGGTGGGCCTGGGAGGGGGCGTCTGCGGCCCCGCGGTATCCCTCCGCCCCTTCCCGACACGCTCGCGGCAAACGGGTCCTGCCGCATCGAGTCCTGCGCAGCCCCTGCCGGCTCTGCTGCAGAGGCGTGGGCGCGCGTCTTCGCAGTTCTGCTGGCAGAGCGCTGGGAGCGGTGGCAATCGGGGCGCCGGGCTGCGGGCGAGCGGCGAGCAGGTGAGGAGGGGGCGCCCCGCGACGCGACGAAAGTGAGGGTGTGCTGGGGCGCAGGTGCCACCCCCCCCAGAACCTGGCAGCCCCGAGGGGAGGCGAGCAGGCGCGGCCGCTCCAGGAAAGAGGTGCGCAGTGTCCGGAGTCCTGGCGGCCAGGGGACGCTGAGCTGAGCGGGCCGGCCCTGGCCAGAAGGAGGCCGAGAGGCGCTGTGGGTCTTGGGGCGGGGGGCGATGCTGCTGCCTCCCCGCCGCTGCTCTGCGGGCGCCCGCGCCCCGCCCTCCATGCTGTCTGCCCACCTGGAGAGGGCCTTGGCGGGTTGTGGGGTGCTGCAGGAAGAAGGGTGACTGGGAACGGAGGCAGGGGCACCGGGAACACCACTGCTCCCAGCTCTCTGCCAGATCGACTTGGGGCTGGTATGCAGACCCCGTGTGCAGCCAGCTGGCAGAAGGAAGATGAGTAGCCTTGCCGGTGGGGCCTCGATTCTGAGCGGGGCCTTTTGGACCCCGCGTCCAGCATTCTCTCCCTTACCCCAGGCACCTGTTGATGTCACAGTCTCCTGTCTGAGCCCTAGGTCTGCTGAATCCTCACTCCCCACAGTGCACATCTGTACAGGAGAGGCTTGAGAAAAAGGAGAAGCAGAAAAATGGCCTGGATGTTTGGAGGTGTGTAGGGTAGGTGGGTGGGCATTGAATAGAGACCCAAATAAGAGTGAGGTGACTGTGGCCCGTGCCGATCAAGCTTATGGGGTGCTTCCTAATCTTATTCTTGCTAGGGACCATCCAGGCATTTTCCCTACCCCCCCCAACACCCACCCTGGTGCTCCCAACAGGGGCCTGAAAACATGGGCTTGTGTAAGGGGTGATGAGGGAGTCATAACTAAGACTTCACAACATGCTTTCTAGAATATACTATGCCCTTCCTCTGTTTTCTGCTGCGCAGGATAAGAGAGTGTGGTACACCTAGTGGTGGATCATCAGAATTGGAGGTGGAAATAATGACAAGAGTGATGAAGTCCAGACAAGGCTTCTTACCTCTGGAACACTGCAACAGGGACCAAATAAGGAAGGATAGTAGACCAGAAGGTCCCCAGATCTAGAAAGAGATACTAGAGAGACACCTGTCTTTAATTTTTATCTGCTCACTGAGCTCAGATGCTATCACTGTTTCCTGACTTCTCTTCACCTTTTCATCTGTTTGCCCACAGGCCTGCTTTAAGGCTGGTCGGTTCTTGAAGAAAGCAAAAAAGGAGACGCGCTCACATCTCTGGAGGCTGGTGAGAAGGGGGGCGATGCAGGAGACACCTCCTGAGGAAGAGAGGCAGGTGGCTTTGATCCAAGTGGATGTAAGGCCACAGATGCTAGTTTTGCAGATTGCCACAGCATTCCTTGTCCCTTTCCTACTAGATATTTTCTGAATGGTGGGATAGGCCCTGACAGCAGGAGGCTGGAATTTTGGAGAGCTTAGCCCCTTAAGCTGAGGAAGAGAGATTTGCCTCAGGCCAGGGTGTATGCCTCTCTCCTGAGGATTCAGAATCCATCTTCTCCTATGTGTTTGTCTGTAGGAGGCTGCAGTCGACTGTGGGGACTAATATCACTTGAACAAAGAAAGGAGTGGGAGATTGCAGCACACCGGTTCAGGTTCGTATGGGTGTGGGTTCACTCTTGGGTAGAGTAGTGGACGCTGCTGAGGTGATTAGGGTCCAGTCGTGGAGCTTCTCTGCTTCTTCATTGGGAACTCCCTTCGCCACCATCCCCATACCTATTTTGTAGCAGGCCAGAAGGCCAGAGAGACTTTCTCATAGCTTAGTTTTTCTGCCTAGCATTCAGCTCCAGTTTCTGGGTATGTCTCTGCATGAGGCAATGCGGTTGGGTAAGAGATTCAATTCCCCGTCTTGTTCTCTCTCTTGTAGATCCACCTCCTGTGGTAGTGCTGAAGTTCTGCTGGCCACCACCCCGAGTAGTTCTGCACTCATCCAGGAACCATTTAGTACACCCCAACCTGGTTGTGCCTCTTCTTCACATTATCTGTATTTTTGACTGAGATTGTGTTTGGGTAGGAGCCCGAGTAACTGCTGGATCGATTTTAAGTCGTCTTCTTCACTTTATCTCCTGCATCATAAAAAAAGTGTGCCAAGGTTCAGATCTGTGATAGATCTGTTGTATAGACTGAAAGTGTCGTGTGGGTACTTAATTGAGCTTTCTCTGTTACCTTTTACCATGACTGGGGCAGAAGTTGAGTCTAGTGCCCAGGCTAAGCCTGAAAAAAAGGTCGGGGAAGAGGGCATTGGTGGGGCTGAGCGAGAGAATGAAGTCCCTTTGGTGGTCAGACCCAAAGTTAGACCCCAGACCCAGGTAATGGCCGGAGCAAAGCCTAAAACTGAATCTAAGCCTGTGCCTGGAGCAAGATCCAAAACAGAGTCAACAGCAATAGCTGGGGCAAGACCTAAATCAGAGACCTCAGCTATACCTGGAGCAAGGCCTAAGATTGAGTCCCCAGTCATGGCTGGAGCAAGGCCCAAAACTGATGGGAGGGCAGTGGGTGGTGCACGTCCTAAGACCGAGGCCAAGGCAATCCCTGGGGCAAGGCCTAAGGATGATGCTCTGGCGTGGTCCCAAACTGAGTTCGGGGCTGAGGCATTATCTCAAGGAGATGGAGCATCCCAGTCTAATGCTGTCACATGGCCATTGGTCCGTACTGATTCTGGGTCAGTTACTAAATCCAAATGCTTGTCTGATGATTCAGAACTGGTCGATGTGGACTCTGAAACCTTTTCTAGACTTCAGGTCCAGACATTAGTCCAACCATGGTTTGTAAAAGGACAGGAGACTAACGGAGGTTCTTGGTGCTATCCCAGGCCCAGAAACAGAGAGGATGTCTCTATTGAATCTGGATTTTGGTCAGCAGATGAGACCTCTGCTGTGTCTTCTTTGTGGGGTGGAGAAGAGACTAGTATCAGATCATGGCCCAGGGAAGAAGCTAATACCAGGTCCAGGCACAGGGCTAAACATCAGACTAACCTCAGGTCCAGGCCCAGATCCAAGCAAGAGACCTATTTTGATTCTTGGTCTGGGTCTGAGGATGAGGCTGGCAGCCCATTCTGCTTTTGGACTGGGGAAAATACCAGTAACTTGTTCAGACCCCGAGTGAGGGAGGAGACAAATGCCAGGTCTAAACTCAGAACAAAGAGAGAGGACTGTTTTGAATCTGAGTCTGAAGATGAGTTCTATAAGGAGTCCTGGTTTCTGTCTGGAGAAGCCAGTAGTAGATTCAGGCCCAGAGACAAGGAAGAGCCTAATAACATCTTGAAACCCAGGTCCCAGAAAGATGTTAAAATCAGTAATAGAGCTGAACAAGAGCCCAGGTATAAAGAAGAAGTTATTATTGGGTCCTGGTTCTGGGCAGAAAAAGAGGCCAGTTTGGAGGCTGGAGCTTCAGCAATTTGTGAATCTGAGTCAGGAGCTGAGGAGGGGGCCATTGGTGGATCATTGTTCTGGACTGAAGAAAAGTCCAATTTGGGGGCTTTGGCCAAAGAGGCCAGACCTGAGTCTGAAGAAGAGGCCATATTTGGATCCTGGTTCTGGGATAGAGATGAGGCCTGCTTTGACCTAAATCCTAATCCTGTGTACAGGGTCAATTGCAGGTTTGGAAATTCAGTGGAAGAACCTGATGAATCAAACAGGCCCAAATCCTGGGATGAGGTTACTGTTCCATACAAACGTCCTTATCGTGCAATTGGCTTTCCGCCCCTGACTTCTTTTAGAATTCCTGAGGGGTCTTATGAAGCAGTTGAAGGAAAGCCCAACAACATGGAACTTAGCCAAGAAGGGGAAGAGGATGATTTTTTGTTTGAACCTGGTCAGTTTGACTCTGTGTTTCCATTTCAATATGATCCTTCCTACCGGTCAGTCCAAGAAATTCGTGAACACCTTAAAATCAAGGAGAGTGCAGACCCTGAGAATTGGTCTTGTAGCTGCATACAGTGTGAGCTTAAAATTGGGGCTGTAGAGTTCGAAGAACTCCTTCTATTGATGGACAGAATTCGGGATCCTTTTATTCAAGAAATCTCTAAAATTGCAATGGGTATGAGAACTGCTTCTCAATTTACCCGGGATTTCATTCGGGATTCAGGCATTGTCTCTCTCATTGAAACATTGCTGAATTATCCGTCCTCTCGTGTTAGGACAAGTTTCTTGGAAAACATGGTTCATATGGCTCCACCATATCCGAATCTGAATATGATTGAGACATTCATATGCCAAGTGTGTGAGGAAACCCTTGCTCATAGTGTGAATTCCGTTGAGCAGCTGACTGGAATAATGATGCTTAGACATCTCACAATGACTCCTGACTATCACACACTGGTTGCCAATTATATGTCTGGGTTTCTTACCTTATTAACCACAGGCAATGCAAGAATAAAGTTTCATGTTCTGAAAATGCTGTTGAACTTGTCTGAAAATCTTAAGGTGGCAAAAAATCTATTTAGTGCCAAAGCTCTGTCAGTTTTTGTGGGTCTTTTTAACATAGAAGAGACAAATGATAATATTCAGATTGTTATTAAAATGTTTCAAAACATCAGTAATATTATAAGAAGTGGCGCAATGGCCTTCATTGATGATGATTTCAGTCTTGAGCCACTTATTTCTGCATTCCATGAGTTTGAGGAGTTGGCTAAGCAACTGCAAGTCCAAATAGACAATCAGAACGATCCTGAGGTGGGACAACAGAGTTAATGTGGTTAACCACCTGCTGCTGATCAGCCTTATGTTTCCAAAGAGCGCTGAATAGTGCTTTAGTGTTCACAGTCTGGTTTTATGTTGTAACTTATATTTTTAATGCTGCTGTTAACTTGTTGACCTCGTGTTTTATGCTGGATCATTTTGTGGATGCCAAATGAATATTGAAACTGAAACATATTTGTTGATATTTGTCTTGCTGTGCAGATTGTGATATTTTTTAGTGTTGAGCTTCCAGTGAACTGAGTCATCTGAGTAAGCTGCCTTGCTATTCACTGTTTAAAGATGTGGTTCTCTACTTGAGTCTGTGTTTTCAATAAAGTTCAATGCTAAAACCGGCACAAATGACCCTCTTTCACTTTAAAAATGACATGTAGATACATGTGAACACTTCTCTCCATAGGTAATTGGTGTGATGAACATACATGCTTATTAGAAAATCCCATTCTTAGATCTTAAGGGCGTGATCGCTGTGGGATGTAGTACTGCAGGAAAGCTTAAGAGAAGAGGGAACTACTTAAATTGGTCACCAAAGGATAGGATGAGACAAGTCTTTCTTGGAAGTAGGCCTTGGTGGTATGAAGAAAAGGGTAACTGTAAAGTATATTACAGCATAAATGTAACCAGTATGCTTGAAATAGGGTGGAGGAGGTTAGTGAGTGAAACTTTTGAAAAGTTAGAATGAAGTCAATTTAAGCGAGCTAAAGAAGGCAATTCTGCATATTTTACAATTCAAAGTACAGGTATTGCATCAGTGTCACCTACGGTGTTAATGAAGGACTCTCATTAAATGGACTCTTAAGTTATGGAAATGCCATGCAGCTACTGAAATAATCATGTATAGGTTGATGTATTGACATGAAATTACATGGGTAGTATTGCATTTAGTAAAACAAGAATGTGTCATCTATGAACAATTAGACCCTATTTTAAAAATGTTTATAAATACTGTGTACCTTCAGTATGCCTAAACAATATATATTCTGCAGTATGGAATAAAATGTACATACAAAAATCTTTCTGAGATGGACATTGAGGAAATAATTTAATATGCATCTAGTACCTCAAGTTCTGGGTGGGCTTGCTAAAAAGGCTACAGTTACGTAAGTGAATAAGTGTTGTGAAGAAAAATTTTGAATTCATTTAGAAAATTTGTAAATGGGTGAGATTTCAGGAAAAAAATTGCTTTTAAAAATGTATATTTATTTGGTACAGGGTCTTCTTACACAGCTCGGACTCCTAGTGATCCTCCTGTCTCAGCCTCTCCAGTGCTATGATTACAGGTATGCACCACCATGCCCAGTTACGGGGCAGGCACAGCATGCCCGGAATTCCAGGGCCAGCATGGCATGCAGTACCAGGAATTGAACTTGGGCCCTTGCCCTTGCCAGGCAGGTACCTTTATCACCACCGAGATAACTCCCCAGCCCCTAAAAAAAAAGCTTTTTACATTAAATGATCTGAAGAAAAACATTAACAAGTTTCTATTAATCTGTTCATGATACTATAATGGCAACTTTATGACAATATTAGATTCAAATAATCATAACATTTCCTTTTTAGATGGCACAGTTCTGGAACTAGAAAGGGATAATAGTTGTACAACATTGAAAATGTATTTAATGTCACTGAATTTAAAACTGATAACTTTATGCTGAATGTATTTTATCAAAAAAAATACCATACACTCTCAGAATTTCAAAGATGAGGGACAAAATTGTACAGGGATTCCAAACTTGTGAGAAATACAAATATTTTATTATTTTTAGTGCTGAAAAAACTGCTACATCTCTTTTTCCTTAGGATGCTATTTTTAAAATGATACAGTTATAACTCATGTAAATTTAAAATCAACACTAAAGACTATCAACACATTGAACAACTAACATCAAGAAAATAGTTGGAGAAGGGCTGGCCAAATAGCTCAGAGGATTAAAGCGCCTGCTTAGGCAGACGCAGGAGCCAGGGGTTCAATCCCTGAGACTGGGCATGGTGGCATTTGCCTGTAATCCCAGCACTTGAGAGGCTGTAAACAGGATGATCACATCACTATGAGTCTGATCTATGTAGTGAGACCCTATATATCATATAATAAATACATTAAAAAGAGAAAATAGTTGGAGATAGGTGTCTATACAACATGCAAAATATATCAGGCTGGGGAGATAGCTCAGCAGTCTTAAGTTCCTATCTGGCAAGCACAACAACCCAGATTTGATCCCCAGTACCATGTGCCATGTTGGCCCTGCCCTGGGCCTGCCTAGCCAGCCATCAAAACCAGGTGAGGTGGCACATGCCTGTGATCCCAGCTATGCAGAGGCTGAGGCAGCAGGATCACTACTAGTCCATGTTGCATAGCAAAACCCTGTACCAAATAAATTACATAGGCCATTAAATTTTAGAATAACCTTGCTGAGTTAATTACCAAACTGGAATAGCTCACAGGGCACTATATTGTACCAATGTTATATAAACACTAAATGTACACTAAATGGGCAAATAGTTTACAAATCTATTAAACAAAACATCTACTAGTTAAAAATCAGCCATCACCCAGATAGAAAACAAATTAGTAGAAAGTGATCCCCAGCAGTATCCTGAAATACTCGTAATCTATGTTGACTTTCCCCAAATAGTCTATCCTTTTCCTGGTGATGCAACGTTGCTTTTTTCTACCTGAGTCTACTATATGTAAGTTAATAAAGTAGGGCAAAGTGGAAGTTTAGATTCCTTTTAAAACCCACCAGTGTTAATAATGATCATCCTGGTGGAGGAAATTTAATTTGAATGTTTTGCTTATTGATATTATTCACAACACATCATGTGTGTGAAGATTCTGCAGTCCAACCTGTAGGGCTGCTGCTACAGCCTAGGTCACTGTGCCATCAAATGAGACTGAAACTGATAGTGGGTGATTTGACCAGGTGTTCGTTTGGGCCGCAAAAAAGTGTGTTTGCCTGTATGGAGAAGGGACAGGACAGACATATCTGAAAATTGGGACAGGTGGGTAGAGTGGCAGGATGTTCAGGTGAGTAGATATCCCTATAAGCTTGCAAACTGACTTTTTAGTTGACCAGAATTTCAGCATTCTTTGGTAGTGAAAACCACCTCAGGCAATTGCTAGTGTTTTAGTCAGGTCTGTCTTTTGTCCATGAACTTGAGAACTCAGCAGCTATCCTGACAGAAACGTTTGTCTAGAGCATCAGCAGTTGCTATTGAAGGAGGTGGGTATGAGGCTGAGAAATGTCATCCCTCGGAGATGGCTGCTGAGATTAGATGCCAGCGCTTGACATGCCTCAGGCATCCACACTGCCTCATCATATGAACAGCCTCATCCTTTATCGCTAAGCTTCCCATTCACTTCTGTGGTTCTCTGTGTTGGGGAGAGAATATTAATGGAGTTGGCATCAGGACTTCAAAGAGGGTAAATGGTGAAGTGACAGCCTGTGTACACAAATGGGTCTGGATCTGGAAAGGCAGGAGTGGAGACCGTAACCCCTCTCTCCCAGCCTGTAGGCACGCTATTATCTGTCTTCCTTAATGAGTGTATGTAGGCAGTAAAGATGGCTGAGACTGGCTCAAATGTGAGGGAAGGACAGTGGGATGAGAGGGGAACTCATATGCTGTAGGATTCCTGCTGGCTAAGGATGCAGATAGTTCATCCCAACTTGTGCAGATCCAGGGAAGAGAAGAGAAAACAGGCACAAGGGGAGGGAATGTAGATGCTTTGGGAATTTCACATAGGATTTTTCATTGTAATTTTCCAACTTTCTCAAGCCTTAAGAGGTTTCTTGGATGTCAGTCTCTTGCATCATTAAGGAGCACAGAGTTAGGAACACAGAGTTAGTGAATCATGTGAAATGACCTGTCCCTGCTATTGTGACAGAAAGGAGGGTCTTTCTGTGAACACTTACAGAAAGGGCTTCATAGATAACTTCGTAGATTTCCCTCTGCATACCCTTTGATCTCTTTCTTATATTTTGCTCTCTTCCCATTCCTTAGGATTTATTCCTTTGGTCCCATCCTAGGTAGCAGCTTCTTGATAGATTGTTGTGCTCCTTCGGAGCCCTCCAAGGCATCCTGAGTAACAATAAAAGAAAACTTCTTTTCACAGCACTTCTGACACAAACTAGGTGGGGAGTTTGCAACAATTAATTCTCTGAGAGTATCAACTAGTACCTTACATTGGATTAGTTCTGACACTGAGACAAAAAGGTAGGCTGAGGCTAAAACTGATTGAGAAGGAGGCGTGACAAGATCCCAGCACACTTGCACTGAACACTTCCCAAAGCCTTGCCCATGAACTTCTTTTGAGAACTTAAGCAGATTTTTCCATAGGATAGCCTACACCCGAGAAGCCTGAAGAGTGGGTGATACGCAAAGGACAGTCCACATCAAGTTTTTGGCACTGTGTTCAGTCTTCTGTGGTAGCCCACTCTCACACTGTGGGGTGTACTTATTTCCTACTTTTCCTTAGTCTAAAATCAGTCTGCAGAGCCCATTTCTTTTCTTACATTTAATAAAACTTAACTATTTTTTGTAGGCATCTAGACCAACACTTTGCTCAGGACAGAACCTAGAAAATACCTCCAGAAGGAGACTCCAGCACCCCCAAAAGAGGTAAAAACATTATGCATAGTGAGGGCAGACCCAGCAAGTAAGGGACTCTGTCCCACAGATTTCATTCACTGTAGGTGGCATTCAGAAATAGTGAATCCTTGGGTTACTCACTTTTCTTTTTTAAAAAAATTAATTTTATTGAATGAAATAGTTTCAAAACAGGTTAGTAGGACAGTTACAATTAATGCATTGCATACTGTCGTCTTCATAGTCATATTGTTGTCTTCGTAGTCTCACTTTTCTAACTTGGTTACTAATCAAACTTTCCTCCAATCTTCCTAACCTTCAAAAATTCTTCCAAAGGCTCACAGAAACTAGGTAAACACTTTACATACTATTACTGATCATTATAAAAGATAATAGTATACATCTACTTTCTCTTAGTTCAAAATGAGAAGAAAGATTTGTACTACTAGTGTTTAGACAAGATATCATGTCTGCATCTTGTACTCTGAAAAACTACTACAAAGACAACAATATGCAGTGTATTAATTATTGTAACTGTCCTACCAAACTTGTATTGAAACTTCTATTAGGCTAGCCCCTGATGCGCCTTTCCAAGATTTTGCTACAGCTTATTGCAAGCTACAGAGAGGATTATCAGTGACACCGAAGCTAGCAAATTAATAGTTCAACAATTGGCCTTCGAAATGTGAATAAATGGTTTAAAGACGCTTTAAGGGCCCAGAAAAAGCAGGCTATACTTGCTCAGATGATTCAGATTTGTGTGGGTATTGGCTCCTCATATGTACATGGGGCCACCCTGGCAGTGGCTATTACTCAGGTTATTCATCCACAGTTTAAAAAAGGGAGAAAAGTAAGGCCGTTTGTTTCTGTTGTGGGGATGAGGGACATTTAGCCCCAACCTGTTCTGCTGTATCAAAGAGAACACAGCTTTTATCT